AAATCCAATGGAGCACAGTGTACTTTAGTATTCAGGGGTTGACAGGAATGAAATTCAATGGCAACTGGTTAAGAGAATTATATATAACTCTAGCCCTAATTTGGGGGAGTCCTGGTGTGGTGCTGTAGGATAAGCACTGGACCACAAGGTTAGTTTGAACTGCAAAGTGGGTTATTCAGACCCACCAGCGGCTTCTTAAGGAGCTCTGGTAGCGTAGTGGTTACGAATCGGGCTGCGAACCTTAAGGTCAGCGGTTCGAAACTACCAGCCACTCTGAGGGAGAAAGATGAGGCTTTCTACTCCCATAAAGATTTACAGCCTCGGAAACCCTGTACAGGGTTGCTATGGGTCGGAACCGACTCGACAGCACTTAACAACAACAACAAAGATTTACAGCCTCGGAAACCCTGTACAGGGTCGCTATGGGTCGGAACCGACTCGACAGCACTTAACAACAACAACAAAGATTTACAGCCTCGGACATCCTGTGCAGGGTCGCTATGGGTCGGAACCGACTCCACGGCACAGAACCACCATGGTTTCTTGGAAATCCTATGCAGGATTTCTATAAGTCAGAACTACCTCTACAACACCTAACAAAAGCCTTAAATTTAGAGTGCGGTGGCTCTGTACGAAAAGCAATGGTACTAACAGCAATGTCCCTAATTTGTACACTAATCTGGGCCCTCTGATGGCTGAAACATCCCACTCCAAGGTAAGAGGCTCAGGTTTTCTGGCAAACACAAGGACACGGCCTCAGTTTGGGGGACAACGCAGAACAGTGATAGAGGGGCACCCATGAAGCCCACAGGAACACTATGGGAACCCGCCCCCCTGAGAGGGAAAATTCTTCAGGTGACCAGGGCAGGAGTGTGACCAATTGTTCACCTCTCTAGGGAGTTTAACTAAGCCCATATGCCACCAGCTTCTCATTTCAGTATTCCTCCTGTCTTTTCAGAGCCCTTCTCCCCCAGATGGGAAAGCTCAGATGCAGTTCTTTCAGCAACCGTAGACATCATGTTTATGAAAGTCCAGGGCACTTTTTAAGAAAGGTCAAAAGTTTCATTCATCCCTAAACAGCATGAAAAGGACTCCACTCACATCGTTTTTCAAAGAGGTTCCCAAACAAAGGACAATTTAAACAGTAGATTATGTCCTCATTTTTATGCTGGTTACAATTCAAAACTTGATATTTTAGATGTGAGAAAGGATGAAAACAGAACAGAAATGTTTGGGTATTTGTCCTCAAACATCAACCATAAACTTAAAAAAAAAAAAAACAAAAAGGAGTGTGTTGAGGATTTCCTGAAATTTTCTAGTTACTGCAATTTTTAGTCTTAGTTTTACCCATCTACAAGACAACTCGTTTAAGGTAACAGCACCACCTTAGACAAGCTGTCTCGAGAACTAAGTGAGATGCTACAGGTGAAAACGACAGTGCTCAGTCAGCGGGACACAAGTGCCGCCCAAGACTGAGCCAGATGCTCTGAGGCTTGCAACCCCTTCGGGATTTGTGCCTACGTGAGATTTTGCTCTTGGTGATCTGGGGACTGGAGGAGTGGACTCTATGCCTTTTAAACAGAGAAGAAATCAAAGATGAGAAAAGAAGGGTATGGGAATTGCCCAGCTATTCAGAAGAAATGAAGAAAATCTCAAATTATACTTCTTGGTGTCTGGCATTTGAAAACGGGTAACCAGTGAGCCCACTGACAGCAAATGTCAACTGAGAAAAATGATGTGGGATAAAGGTAGACACTTTCTAACTATGCTGTTCAGCTAGAATGTTCTCTTATAATTTCCTTCTAGTTAGAAAAATACGTGGGCAATAGTCCAGGGTAGAGGAGTCGAGAGACCAGTCCCAGGCATCATTTCTCTTCACCAGGTAACCCTAGTGACCACTGGACCTGCAGACATTAAGCTCTTTCTTTTAAATTGAGAGGCCTTGGGCGGTGCAACTGGTTAAGCACTTGGCTATTAACCCAAAGCTTGGAGGTTCAAGCTTAGCCAGAGATGTGTGGGAAGAAAAGTCTGATGGTCCATTTCCGAAAAAATCAGTCACTGAAAACTCTGTGGAGCACAGTTCTACTCTGACACAAAGGGTTTGGTCAAATGAGGTTGTTAAAGTTAAGGTGTTCTATCTGGCACATTCAGCTCCAAATCAAAACATTGGTAGTTTGAAACCTACTTAGCTGCTCTGCTCTGCAGATACCACTCCTGGTGACGTGCTCCCATAAAGGTGACAGACAAGAAAATCCTCTGGGGACAGATCTACTCTTCATGACACATGAATTGCTATGAGTTGAAACTTACTTGAAAGCACTGAACGCTAACAGAGGTAGTCAGAATAAGGTTTAAAAGTTTGATGGTTTTGTATGTCACTTCAAAAAAAGGAACGTAAAGCCCAAATATATGAACAACATTCCTATCTTAAATAGGTCAAGCTGCACGGTTTTAGTATGATAACAGGGAGGGGTTAGAGCCTCATTTAGGAGGAAGCTATTAAAGATGTAGTTTAAAAGCTATTAAAGACGTTATATTCAGCAAAGTACAAATAAAAATCCTATCAAGGTGAGATAAAGGAAGATCACTGGCAATATATTTTGCTGAGTACAATTTATTACAAATATGCTGCTAAATAAAGTGCCCCTCACCCTTTTTTTTGGGAATCCTGGCACGGTGCTGTAGGATAAGCACTAGACTGCTAACCACAACCTTGGTGGTTCAAATCCACCAGCCGCTCCTTAGAAGCCCTATATGGGGTTGCTATGAATTAGAACCAACTTGAGGGCACTAAATAACAACAGTATCCATCTTTAAAACTTAACTCAATAAAATTGAATATTGAAAAAGATTCCTTATTCTCTGGCTTCTAAGCACAATGGGGTCAGGGTCAGGAAGCTCTTTGGGATGGTGGTGAGCCAGGGGCCTCTCTTGCCAGAATGTCTACATGAACACACATTCTGTTTTGGATACACTGGTAGGCCATTCACAGAAACCACACTGCCATCCTTGAACTCCTTCAAGAGCCACAAACCTCTATAGTAGGTTCTCATTTTAAAAATGAGAATTTTATACTAGAATTCAAAGTGCTTTCAGAAAGACAAAGGTAAAACTAACATGTGTTTTAGAAACAGACAAGTAAATGAAGAATTATGGCACAGTGGATGGACACAGAACATCTTCATCAAAAATGACAAGTTCCAACAAACAGAGAGTATCTTTAAAAGTCTGCAGAAGAAGAGAGCGTATTCCTAATTCCCACTGAAATTCGACCCTCAAATAATTTCTGATGTAAAAATATATTTGTTATTAATTTCCCTAACTGTTCTCTCTTCCTTCTCTTATAACCAGATGTCAATATTCAGCTCTTTGGGATCAAATTCAAATGGAGCCAGGTTTTTGCAAATGAAGACTTTAAACTGAAATAAGTCAAAGTGTTTGCCCAGTTCAAGACACCACTGCCTTATTTAGTTTTTGCCCTCCATCCACGCTTCCTCAGATGACTGCTGTTGGTAACCTGGAAGTGATTCTCACTCAGAGCGATCCCGTGTGTTATAGACTAGAATCACCCCATAGGGTTCTCTTGTTTGTAATCTTTATAGAAACAGATCACCAGGTCATTCTCCTGCAGAGCTCCGGGTGTGTTCAAACTGCCAGACTTCTGATTAGCAGCTAAGAGAGTAACCATTTCATCGGCAGGGCTAGGAGGTCTAAATTACTATGAATTGAAAATCAAGAGAGACTACAGGAAAAACAGGAGTTCTGGTGTGGCACTGAGGGTTAATGCGCGAGAATGCAAAGCTGTTTGAACTGCAAGGTCTGCAAAGTTGGCGCTTCAAGCTCACCAGCTGCTCCTCGGAAAGCCTATACAGGGTCGCTGTGGGTCGGAACTGACTTGATTGGCACTTAACAACAACAAAAACAACAGTAACAATACAACTTAACGATCTTATTCATTTATCAGTGGGGGAAATAATGTTGCATCTATCTAATCTTTTATCCAGAATGTCCAAAAAAAGCTTGCCTTTAGAAAGACAGAATGAAGAGTGAAGAAGTTTCATCATAGTTTGATAAATCGTCATGGGCAGTTTGAGATATATCTAGGAAAAATAAGATTGGTCTGTGAGTAACAAACCAATAAAACTTCTGGATGATGGCAGGTATAAGAAAAGGTTCAGGTTGGCAGAAGCGTAAGAAACAGACGGAGGAAATACTTTGCAGGTCAGACAGGGAAATTAACTTGACCTCTCTTCACCCAGAATTCCTATCACTATTCCATTGTTTGCTGCTTCATTCAAACGTGGCTCAAGGTTAACAAGGAAAAACATCCTGATAATGTTGAACTCCTATTCACTATATTGCTTCCATTTAAATCCACCCTCTCTAACCAACATCATTCTTTTGAATGAAAAAAAAAAAACGGTTATTTAATGCTCAAATACAATCTTTCATAGTTATTACCTGATGGAAAATTTCTAAATGCAATTCAGAAAAGTCATCCATTTTACTTTCCATAAAAGAAGCAAAACTTGGATTCAGATGCCTTAGATTTGTATTTTAAATGAGAATAGAAATCCATTTATATGGACCATCACCATCAGCTGGTACACTCAATAGGAAGCTACGTGTATCTGAAAAGCTCTAAGATATCAGTTCCCATACCCAAATAGTTAAGAGAATAGTTTATATAAAAAACAAAGAGAACTGCAAACAAATGTAGCGAGGACAAGTAAGTTTCTGCTTATTTCCTCATTAGAGTCTAGAACTGGCTCTCCACCAACATGACCAACCAGGCACTGGGGTGGATGCGGTTCACTAACAATTGTCTGTAATTCCCCGAAGAATGTTTGGAGAACAGCAGAGTCCCCCTTGTAAATTTCAGATTTCATCACTTTGCCCATCACGTAGATTTAGAAAATAAAAACAAACACACAAAACAACTCTAAGCACCTTTTCCACCCCCACTACAGCTCATTTTCAATCCTAGCATCTCTGTTTACCTTTCTTTAATTGACATGGTTTTGCTGGGGGAGTCAAGGATGGCCAGACCCTCCATCATCGGTGATTTGATCTCTCCGGCAGCAAACATGGCACATGGATTCTTACAGGGCTTCTCTTGTTCCTGTTCTGTGGAGTCGGGCTGCTTACAGGACACCAGGTTTGTGGTTGGAGCAACAAGTTTCCCAGCAGCTGTGCCTGTCTGCTCAAAAGCAGGCTCCCAAAGCTCCGCTGCGGAACAGGAAAGGAGTAACATGAGCACCTACTCCTCCAGTGAACATTCTTGTAGCTTTTTAACCCCCAGTAGGCAAGCATTCTGGCACTGCAGGGTAAATCACTGGACCGAAAGATCAGTTTGAGCTGCAAGATAAGTGGTTCAAACTCACCAGCAGCTCCTTGGAAACCCTATCCGGGATCGCTAAGAATCGAAACCGAGTTGGCGGCGCCACTAACAACAATGACAAGTCAAGAACTTGGAGTTCAATCCGTGGGTATATAGGAGAGGTTATCCAATCTATTTGCACTGATGAAAATCTCTAACACTGTGAGGAAGCCAAATTTCTCTGTGGGTTACTTCTCACAGCATATCATGATAATTGTTTTTTTTACTGTGCAAAACACAGGAAGTTAGCTTTAAATGTAAACTATGGAATGTTTCTACCCACCCCTCCTAAAAAACAACAGAACTTTCACATTTCAAATACACTAGACTTACACTCCAAAACCCTGATTATAACTTGCACAGTATCATTTTAAGTCAGTTAGAAAGAGGATTAAAGTCTCATGCAGTTTAGTTTGTCTGCAAAAAGAAAAAACAACAACAACAACAATAAAACGGGTGTAGAAAGTGTCTATAAGCCCAGAAATACAGTTTCAAGCCCTTATTCCCTGCATTTGCCCAAGTCCTGAGCTTTTTGGATCATCAGTGTATCAAAAGAGACAACAAAGGTGTTAGAGAAGGGAATGTCATCCAAGTGATCAAAACATTTTTTAAGATGTAGAAAGAATGGCAGGTATTTCAGTGGAAAAATGGATGAATCCATTAAAGTCAAAAGAAAGGGGGAGAGAAATCTCGAGGCACATTTGCTTCACACTGTACTTTTTAATCAGTAATGGTCACAAACTGTCTTTTCAACTTAGCTGGAAACCAACACACATGCGCGCCCACACACAACCTAGCAAGAAGCTGCTGAAAACTGAGCTGGGTTTCGAACATTGTAAGAGCAAGTTGTGATTTACTTTACCTCTTAGAGAAAGCCTGCGTGTTGTGACATTCTCCATCTCCACCTTCTCCTCAAAGGACTGCCTGTCTTTCAAGTCCTGGCTCCCCTGTACAGGGCTTTTAGCAGTGGAAAATTCCTTCAGCTCATCACCAAGACGGGCCAGGGGAGCATTCACTAGGTCTGTGCTTCCTCTTCTTGGAACAGCATATTTTGGATCTTTATGGCTGTCTACCTCTCTGACTCTACTAAGAATGGGGTGGGATGGCTCTGCTTCCTCAAAGGACTCATACTTTTTAGACCAACTGTTTCTATTGGCCAAGACTTGCTTGCTTTCGGTCTCTCCAAATTCTCTCAACGTTCCTTTGTCCCCGCTGTCCTCTCCTGAAGGCTGCCATGCTGGTGACTTTAGGATGCCTCTTACTGGAGGGTCTGCATGCTCTACTGAACAAGGGAACTTAGAGTCAGTGGTATTTGTACTGTCATCAACAGATGGCTTTGCCCGAAGATCCCCGGCGTACATTGGCATGATGGTCGATGCCACTGTGGACACAGAAGTGTTGACAGTAGGTGCGAAAGGAATGAGTTTTCCACTTTGAACCTGGGAAAGGGGAGGGCACAGTTAAGTACAAAGATGACTGAACAACACTGTCTCCCTTGTTCTAGTTTGGAGACAGACAGACTGACATCCTGCCTTTGGTACAGCTTCATCGCTTGTTCTAGTATGCAGACAGACAGACTGACATCCTGCCTTTGGTACAGCTTCATCACTTATCTTCATTGGAAACCCTTCCTGGACACAGTTCTATAATGCTCCTCACTACAAACCACATTGTGGGTCTCTCCAAAATGGACCCACTTCAGATGATTTCAGCGAATAAATTACGAAAGCAAGAACAGAGACGCATACGTGGCATGGTGCTCTTTCAAGGGAATTACATTATTACCAAATCACCTACAGGCAAGCCCAGTGTCCGGGTAAATTGCCTGAATTCTGTCATTATTAACTTGAGAGTTAGCCAGAGCTCCTAGATTTTAAGGACATCAAAGCATTGGACTCAGATGGTTGAATACCCACCTGCTCCACCTCTCCAAGTGTGACGGGCTGCGTTTGGTAGCGAGCATTCATTCTCCTCTGTCTTATGTCTATTCTGTTTCGGGTAGAAATAGCTTTTGACACAGGCTGCGCCAGTTTGTTAAACAAGGCCAACTTCTCTGCGAGGCTGAGAGTGGAGGAGTCAGGTTCACCTTGTTCAACAGAATCTTTGCCCTCATTTGCCTGGTCCCTAGCTAATGCCTTTTGGTGAGCAGATGCCTGTAATCTGAAAGTAACACAAAGTCAGCAGCACAGAAAGAAACAAGATCCCATCGCTAACTTTCTATATTAATACTTTGTTAAAAGTACCAGAGCAACAGTTTTTAAAAGGGCTGATTTTTCCCTTCAGAAATTTAAGTCAGGTGTCTGAAGTTGTTTACCTATTAAACAAGACGTTGAGTCGGAGAATAAACTTGGGACACCAGCTCTATCAATTCCACAAAGAGCAGATGTTTAGCTCTGAATTCTAAGAAATGGGTTTCCTAGTTAAGAAATTGAAGCAATTCACTTACTCAGAGAGGCTGTATTGTTAGTTTAGCTAAAAGGAATCCTAAGGCATAATTTAAGGTATGTTTTATAAGGGGGTCTTCTCCTTTTAAATAGGAAACAACACAGTCATTTTATCAACATCATCATCTAGAACACAGGGTTCTGATTTTCACTTGCTAAATATGAGTGGTTTCATTGAAAAAACAAAACAAAACAAAAAACTTTTGCTCCTTTAGCATTTTCTCTCGTAGGTATCTCTGAGATTTCTGGTTTGTACCTAAACTGGAAATTCCCAGTTTAAGTTTGGAAGAAATTCCCAGTTTAAAATGGAAGAAAATTTCAGGTGATTATAAAGTCCTACAACTTCCAGGTAGAGAAGTTTATATGGTCTAGTTATATTAGTTTATATGGTCTTTCAGAATCGTGAAAGGTTTTCAACACACTACTACTAACAGCCTGGGTAAAGCCAGCTCGTTAATCCATTGTATATGAGTAAGAAGTGAATTCTGCCTTGAAACCAATTAAAGGCCAAGTCACAAGTTGTTTCAGACAAAAAGCAGATCCAGGTATAAAAAGAGGAGGACAAGGAAAGCAATGTGAGCTTCAGAGTCTGTCTTAAGGTGCTGCGAACTGGAAGGGCAGCATCAGCTTACTTCCAACCTGGCTCTGGGTTGCACTCGCTTTGTTTCTCTATGTCATTTTGCCTTGTTTACTCTTAATTTTAGCCATATTAGTCATTATTAATTCATAACAGTAAAATAAGGGGGTTATTTACATGCTCTAAAGACATAATTCTTAAACACCATAATCTAAGACATCTACATTTAGAAACTAGAAATTATTTTTCCAATCCTAGAACAAAATGGCATGGTCTCCTTATACGTCAGAAATATATAGGATTGTCTACAGCAGATCTTTCTGTCTCCAAGTGTTTTAAACATTCTGGTGTTAGTCAAATTTCAACATTCATGTTGACTCCCCTTTTGTTCATCTGTTTTAGGAGCTAGCATTGTGATTGGTATGTGCCTTGGAGTCAGTTCCGACTCATAGCGACCCTGCACAGGGTTTCCGAGGCTGTAAGTAAAGGAGCTCTGGTAGCGTAGTGGTTACGAATCGGGCTGCGAACCTTAAGGTCAGCGGTTCGAAACTACCAGCCGCTCTGCGGGAGAAAGATGAGGCTTTCTACTCCCGTAAGGATTTACAACCTCGGAAACCCTGTACAGGGTCGTTATGAGTCGGAACCGACTCGACGGCACTTAACAACAACAACAAGTAAATCTTTACGGGAGCAGAAAGCCTTGTCTTTCTCCCACGGAACAGCTGGTAGTTTCGAACTGCTGACCCTGAGGTTAGCAGCCCGATTTGTAACCACTATGCTATCAGAGTTCCTTAAGTGCTAGCATTACTGATGAAGAAAGACATTTTTTAGGAATGACCACTGTCATGAAAAACAGACACGAAACAAATGGTTCAGTAAGTTAGTGTGATGCGAGTCCCAGGACACAATGTGAGCACAGAGAGACTCCATGTGTTCTCACACAGGCAGACATGAAGTTATCAGTACCTTGCATTGTGACAAAAACAAATGCCACGCATGCCCAGAACCACTCACGGCACTGACTTGTTTGCCAACCAAATGAAAGGCATTCAACATGTTTAAGATGCACTCACTGTCCAGCACCTTTGTACTTATTGCCACATGCAGCTATTTCTGTCCAGTACCTGGCAGCCTGCAGAGTGCTCTTAGCTAGAGTGGGGCTAGGAAGTCTTGCCATTACAGGATGGGTGGCCACAGAACACGAAGCAGGGATAGGTTCACTTTAAAAGCAAGTGCCAAAGGAAGGAACATTCATAAGGAGAGAGAAGGAAAGAAGCATTAGGGAAGTATTTCAAATTCACAAAAGCAAAATCAAATACTTCAACAAATTTATTTGCTAAGTACTTTTGAAAGCAAGAAAGAAAGAAAAAAAAAAAAAATCACAACAGAATTTGAGAGGCCATTGCAAACATAAGAAATAAAAGAGACAGAGACCACTTAAAGTCAATGGAATAGGTTTATCGGCTTGGGGAAGGGTTCACTATACTTTTTGGGTTTCAAAAAGTATGTGGAAAAATGGAATGAAAAGAGAATGGAATTTTCCCACAGACTTTGGGAAGCCCTCTGATATCTTTAGTACAAGTGTCCTGGTTTGAAAAACTAATAACCAAACAAAACCTAATATTGGTGGTGGTGGTGATGTGCCGTGGAGTTGGTTCTGACTCCCAGCACCCCTTACAGGGTTTCTGAGGTTGTAAAATCTTTATGGGAGCAGAAAGCCTCATCTTTCTCTGGCGGAACACCTGGTAGTTTTCAAACTGCTGACCTTCAGGTTTGCAGTCCGATTCGTAACCACTCTGCTACCAGCCACCAGTCAATAAAGTAGATTGTGTCCACGTTTTAGAATGTTGTTCTCAGATTGTTTTTGTGTGTTTGTTTGTTTGTTTGAACTCAGTGTCCTTCTATATTATAAGGACCTATCACCAAGTAGATTCTTTGCGACTTTCATAGCGAACATTTTTGCTAATGTTGACTTTTTACACCCTCAGTAAATTGCTTCTTCTTTTACAACAGCCAGATTCATAATGCTATTTGAAAATAAACGATCTGACTTGCTGAAAGTTCCTAATGAGTATAAGAACATCTCTGCACATACCCCAGGAAACTGAGGAAAACTGGAAGAAGTGCAGTCGGTTCATCTAATAGCAAGTCCATAGACGTGAACTTGGATAGCAAGGCTTCTTTGGCTATCTGTATCTTGCATGAGGTGAACTTCATTGATTCCAAGAAAGAAAGGGGTGTGGGGTGTGTTTATGTGTGTGTGTGTGTGTCTATCTAGGGCCATGAAAACAATTTTAAAGAACAAATCAAAGTTTGCGCTCAACTGAAACAATGCTCTCTAAATGAAGTACCTTGGGAAATTAATTCTGAAGATATTGCTCAAAACTTACTTCTCTCAACTTGGAAAGTTACCAAACTTCTGATTAAATTTTGATGGTTGATCATTTAAAAACAAGTAAAAAAGATCCCTTCTCTTTTAAAGTTAGCCCAACCCACTGCCATAGAGTCGATTCCAACTCACGGCCACCCTCAATTAGAAACACATCTGCTTCATTGGGTTTCTAAGGCTGCACAGCTTTCCGGGAGCAGATTGTCACAACTGTTTCCCGTGGGGAGACTGGTGGGTTTGAACCGTTGACCTTTTAGTTAGCAGTCCAACGCTTAACCCACCATGCCACCAGGCCCGTCTTTTAGAGCTAGATACTCCAATATTTATGAATAAAACGGGACAGTGTCTGGGGTTTGCTTGAGCTACCACAGGAAGGAAGGGGATGCCACTGGATGGGAGTCCTTGTTATCACTCTGTCTACTTCTATATTTTAAATTTTCTATAGAAGAGAGAAGCTAAATTCACAGCCCCCTCTCCCCCAAATGAAATGGAATGATCTCTTCATGTTTTTCTAGGGGATACAGCAGGCAGTGTTATTGTTGCTGTTGTGAGCTGAGTTTGTGGAGATCCAGTGGGTTATAAAGCAGAACTGCCCTCGAGAGAGTTCTTGGCTGTGATCTTAAGAAAGCAAGTTCCCAGGCCTTTCTTTCATGGAGCTACTGGGGAACTTCAAACCAGTCACCTTTAGTCTAGCAGTAGATTGTAAACTACTTGCTCCACAGGACAGACACCAGGTAACACATCCAATGACCGAGTTTACAAAGACAGCAGAAAGGAAAAGCACAAAATGCCAACCTCCCGGTCGCTTCTAGGCAAAGCATCTTGTTTCTATTTAAAAAGATTTCAATTTTGGTTTAAAAGGAGACATCTCAGCCAAGGTCAAGACATCCCGTGGGAGACTCACGTCGCTGCGATGGCCACCTCCTCAGTGGTTATGGGCTGCGTGTGGGATCTGTCCTGCAGGCGACGCAGCCTTTGTTCCACCGCCATGTTTCTTGAGCGTCGTTTAGGAACGTTTTTTTCATCAAATGATTTTTCCATTTCCTATTAGAGCAGAAAAATTGAGGCATCCCTATAAACACTGTCACCTAGAAACCTGAGGAAAAGTGGCAGGAGAAGCAACAAGTCTCTGCTCTGCTCTCCCAGGAGCGAATGACCCTGAGGCACACTCATCGTTGGACGTATACGTCTGAGCTGGGTGTCAAAACCAGGCTGACCGTGGAGTACCTTCAAGTGCCCAGAGGTGCATGGAGCAGGATAGGGATGTGGGGACTCCCATGAGTCATGATTTGGATGGAACCCCATGGGGACCTCTTACCCTGAAGAGCAGTCTCTTGGCAGCAACACTTAGCTTGGCTCGTTCATCTACCTTTTCTTCATCTGCAAAATGCCACCAAACAAAAACTGAACACAGTTAGAAAACTTCTGGATGTACAAGAAATCCCATGCATACAAGAATGGGCATACTAAAATGAATAATTGGTAATATTTCTTTCTAGGGCAGAAACATTGTTTCTGTTCAGTTGAAAAGGTACCGATTTCCCTTGGATTACAACCAAACCAAACCACTCAGCCGGGTAAGAACATTTCTATTATTATATTTAACTAACACTGAAGAGGAGAGTTTACAGAAAGAAGGTCTCAGCATAATCATGTATGTATTGCTACTGAGTTGATTCCAACACGTAACGTCCCTGTAGGAAATAGTAGAACTGCCCTAGAAGACTCCTGAGGCTTTCATCTCTACAGAAGCAAATGGCCACATCTTTCTCCTCTGGAGAACTGGCGGTTCGAACTGCTGACCTTTTGGTTGGCAGCCAAGCATTTCACCACTGCACCACCAGGGTTCCATCATATATCACATATGCTTTTTAAATTATTAAATATTACTAACAAGAAAAGTCTACTGCTGCGCTCCAAGTCCCTTGATTTTAATATTGTCTAGCCAAGACTCGCTAACTCTCAAAAACAACGCTTGTCTTAAAATCTCAAATTTTGTTGTATTCAAACGAAAGAAAGCCCTGAAGAAAAGTGAGGGATTTCTAACGTTCCATAATTATGTTTTCTCAAAAAGCCAAAACTGTTATTATTTAATGCTAATCTGAGAGAGGTGATAAAGAGGAAGTAAAAGAAGACAAATGAAAAGATACTTGCCCTCAGCAGCTGGTATTTCTGAATGTGAAGTATATCTAGGAAAGACATTGGAAACAATAGTGATAGGAAATTAGCTGGTGTGAGTAGAAGACCCAAATGAAACATCAATGTAAAGCAAAAATAAAAAATGCAGTGAACCACTCTTAGAGAATATCAGCAGTGGAATTCTAATGGTGACTACACATTCCTATGGACACAGTAGATTCCAATGTGCACACAATCTCAGCCAAACGCGTAACTCGTGGACAAAAAACAAAGGTCAAGTACATCTTATTAAATAGGACTGATGATAATCTTTTAGACAAACCTTATCATTTCTATGCAATAGTAAAAGATAATTTAATATAAAACTTCACATATACCAAATAAGGCATTTATAGTGAATATAAAATTCCTGAAGTTATTTTCACTGTAAAATCTGGCGAACACTCAATTTGGCTTCTATTTTAACAAGGCTATGAGAATATCAAAAATACTGAAATTAAGAAAAATCATGTTTATGTCTTAAACCTCTACCATCAATGCTTTATCACACCTCCTAAAGGCAACTTCAAACTGTGTATTGTTAAGACATTGTAAAGGCCAACATTCTTTAAGTCTACTTTTAAATCAGTGAAATAAATATCCCGCATCAATTAAGTGGAAGAATTGTGAATCACCAAAACCCACAGGTGCATGAGGATACAAATCCCTCATGCATCAGGCTAAAAATTCTGTATCATTAATTTATGTTCCTAGACCTATGTAACTACATAGACACGTGCCTACCTATCCGACTCCTTTCGTTCTGCTGAGGTTATAGGTTGAGTTCTAAATCTCTCAGAAGTCTTTCTACTCTCACCAGGAGAAAAATAGCGTCTTGGTTTCCGGGACCCTCTTTCCCGTTCCATACTGGTGGGTGAGCCAACTCCTTCGGTTGACCTCTCAACCCGTGAATGGCTTTTAGAATCATGGGATGCAGAATACACAGAAGAGAAACAGGAAGGCAGAGAGAGAGAATAAGGCAAAGATTTATCCATCTCAGTGAGTGAAGGTATAATACTGCTAAGTGTCTCCGCATGCCTCTACCATGCACGAAAGGACGTAGAGCATTCCAGTGACCCAATACTTGACCACCCCATTAGTAGGCAGAAGCAAAATGGTAGTCTCTGAGCCATTGCCTTGTATCATCTCCCCTGCACACACTTGTGAGCTAAGCTAACAGGACTTAGTGCAGGATACGACACACGTTGAGAAGTGAATTCTGCCAAGGACGTGCAAGTGACACATCGGGATTATGTTTGGAACATCACCTACAGTTCGCGTTTCTTGCTGACATTGGTGGACTCCAGAAACGCACTTCGGAGCTGGGCCACAGAGACCTTGGTGTCCACCATTCCCACCTCCGCATAGGGCCCTTCAGTTTTGGAATTCTGTGGCTCGACCTCTCTCTTGGAAACAGGGTCCTTGTACTTCAAGGCCTGGAGCTGAGGGGGGCCGGTGTAATCAGAGAGTGAGCGAGTGAGAACCTTGCGCTTCTTTGTGGAAACGTCCTTTGTCTGAGCTGTGAGGTTGGCGTCTGGGGACACTGGCTCATGCTGAAGGTAAGACACCATCTCACTCCTGTCTGGGCTCTCAGTGGCCTGGTGCTGAACTTTAGGTGGGTGTGACAGATGTTCTTGGTCCTGCTGATGCTCTAAGGTGACGGTAGTAATAGCAGGCGTACCAAAGTCCTCCTCTCCAGAGAGGTCTTCTTCTTGTTTTATCACCAGGGCAGGATCTTCCAAAGTCAAAAGCGTCTTCCTGCTTTTCTCGAGAGCTTCAGTTAAGAACGTATCTTCTTCTGCTTTGGATTCATAAATATGGAGAACTGGGCTATCCCTTTTCTCATCTTCTAAGACCTCCGAGGCAGAAGGTGTTGCTACATGCTGGGTGGCTGGTTCCACACAGCTGCACTCAGAGCTGTTTTCTGTGGTCAGCAGCCTGGCAGTGTGGACAGGATCTGCTGGTTGTACATAGCCGTGGATTGGCTGACGGGCTGAGCCGGCTGTCTTGCTCAGGACCCTATGGAAAGCCGAGTTTTCTGACTGAAAGTAATACAATGGCAAAGGCACGGATCTCCTCTGAAGTACGGACTCTGAGGCAAGTTCAGGGCTGCTGCGAGCACTCTCCTCTTTCACCAATTTTTCTCTAACTTTTACTCTTTAAGAAAGAAAAAGGGTTTCAGTTGTAAAGTGCTTAACGGAAAGAAAGCATGCGTTATCACAGATAACCAAGGTGTGGAAAGAAGCCCAAAGAGATTAAAAAATAATTAAAAAAGGCATTTTGGGGGTGGGGGGAGTTCAATGTCAGAAATCCACTGTTTACACCAAATGAGAGATTCTGAATTGAGTTTTCAGATTTGCTTACGTATGCCAGTGTGGTATAGCTGCTATCTGTCCTGAGGGTGAATGGGTCCCTTTAGTAGCTAAAGAGGGAAATTTTCTCTAATATGCAACCCCAGCGTGCATCAGGGCAGACTGCGGCTGGCTCTGGGGATCACTAAGTTTTCAGGCTTGGATAGGCCCAGTATGGGGCGTGGGTATTTTCCAGGTACACATCCATTTGTTAAGCAAAACGTTGTAATCTTACTGTCTCCTGGAAACATAAGCGCATTCGTGATTACTTATGCTTTTTACTGAGTTCAAAATACAATAAATAATCATCTGTCTTTTAAAAGCACTCAACATTCACAAGCTTTTTCATGCTATGCATATGACACTCATTCATTCATAAGACATTTGATCCGTTTGGCTAATGTTACCACGAGCAACTGCAATACCAAGAAGAATGTTAGAGAAAAGACAGTTATTGGAAGAAGAAAAGAATGGAAAAATTTCCCCTTCTCTAGAACTGCTGCTACTTAATCATCTGAGAGAAAAATGAAAACATTACCAATGAAGTATGGTTGTAGGCTCCTAAGAGGTCTCTGTGCAAACTCTGGCTCATTCATTTCTGGCTATTTTAGCATTGGGCAATTTAGTGGCCTCTCATACACCTCAGTGGCTTTATCTTTTCAATGGAAATAACGGTGACATATGCAGTGTGATATCTGCAAATCACATGGCTTAGTGCTTGGCAAGACGTTAACTTTTAACGGTGTTCGTTAGTTCTTAGTTTTACTTTTTAAAATGCCATGAAGTAAGAGTGGAGAAACCATTCAAACAGAGAATGGATTACTGATTGGGATATTCTTTTTAAAAGCCAAGAATGCTTTTCGAGTAGAAAGGCAATTTTCTTTGGGAATGTAAAACCATTATGATTACTCAACAAAATAATTGCTGCTGATATATGAGGGGGCTTCAAAGAGTTTATGGAAAAAAATCCATTGTCTTTCCATTCCATCTCTCCACATACTTTTTGAAGTTCCCATCCCCCATACACCTTATGGAAGAAAATCTTTTCTTTCATAAGTATACCCTAAAATTTGATGAAAAAGCTCTCATTTAATTATATGGCTTTTGACATAAAATGCAAGAAAGAAAAATCAAGCTCACACATAACAAGTGGTTATGATGAACAATTCAAGGGAAAAAGTATTTCAAGTTGTTATTTTTCCTAAAGACTAGCCAAAGTTAGGTTGGGGTTTTTTTTTTAATACTTATAACCTTTGCTAATCAAAAGAAGACTGAAATATGGTTCAAGTTCTCCTGTGGAATGTGTGCTTTTAATCAAAGACAATCTGAATTCTGTCCTCAGAGGAGAACAAAGTGACTGTCAGAAACTCAATAGATGGGTGCTTTGTCTTTGCAATGACTTATTCATTCTTACTCCTTCTGCCTCTCCCTGCCCCCAACCTTAAATATGAAATGATAGGGGGTTTTTTGTCTGCTTTCAAAACCACACATTTGAAATTTTGACGGTTGAAAATGAGCTGCTTAGAGATGAGAAGTGAAAACGAGATTGGGTGTGCCAGGAGGAGTGAAATTCAGACACGACGGAGTCCTGACTGGTTAGCCTGACTGAAGAGAAAACGAGGATGTACTTGATGAGTTTCTCCCTGCTGCCCCCAACTGGCCAACACCACAAGAGTGGAAAGATGAGGCTTTCTACTCCCGTAAAGATTTACACCCTCGGAAACCCTGTACAGGGTCGCTATGGGTCGGAACCGACTCGATGGCACTTAACAACAACAACAACAACACTTGATGAGTTTCTCCCTGCTGCCCCCAACTGGCCAACACCACAAGAGTGGGTAAGAAAAGGGGAAAATTAAGAGGCTGAGTAAAAAGATTAGTAGAAAGAGAAAAAAGAAGAGAAAATACTGATGGCAGAGATTAGGGCAAAGGAGGAAAAAAAGCAAATGATTAGAAGGTAAGTTCTAATAGGCCTTTTCTGAACACATGAATTTCCAGTGCACTGATATTACGGAAGGGAAGAGAGGGGTTAGGGTTAGCTGGTGGATGGAGATAGCAAGGCAAATCCAAAGGGAAGCAGCAGCATTCACTACATAGCGGCCACAGTTTCACCTTGAGCTATACCTGGAAGGCCAGTTGATAAGTGAAGGTGTGTCCCCTTCGGAATCTCTCTGGAGAAACCACTCATGTTTGAGTTTCCCTGTACTACCACGTACAAAAAAAGAAAAAAAAAAATTCAGGTAATTTCCTATGATACTGTCAATATATACAGACTTTATAGTAAGTTAAGAAGTTACAGGCATATTTCTGTTAAAGAAAGAAAGAATACAATCTCTTGGCTTTTAAAAGTGTATAAGCACATAGCTTTTGGCTCTGTTTGCTACTAAGATGAAGAGACAGAAATTAAACATACCTACAGAATTAAACATCACCATATAAAACGTGGTACAAGTAATTGGAAGCACTAGAGTGGAATCTGTTAGTCATGCTCTGCCCAGGTTTATCAGACATTTCTCTTGCTGAGAAACTGGGTCAAAGATTATAAAGCAACTTAGTCCTGGTGTGGTGCTGTGGGCTAATGCGTCAGACAGCAAAGTCATTTGAACTGCAAAGTCAGTGGTTCAAGCTCACCAGCTGCTCCCTGGAAAGCCTACACAGGGTCGCTATGGGATGTAATCGACTTGATAGCATTTAAAAACAACAATCTCTGTAGGATTTGTTGAAGCGCACAAATAGCCCATTATCAAAATAATGTTCATGACAAGGCAATATATATCAAAGAAACACAAAGAAATCCAACAAGATAGCACCTTTAGTTTGTTGTTGTCTGTTACCATCAAGACAACTCAACTCCTTGAGACTCTCTGTGTGCAGAGCAGACTGCTCCACAGGGTTTTCACCATAATCTTTCAGAAGCAGATCACCAGGCCTGCCTTCCAAGTGTCGCTGGGTGGGTTCGAACCACCAACCCTTCGGCTAGTAATTGAGTGCTTAGCTATCTGAGCCACTCAATTATTACAACTGTTACATTTCCCTTGACTATGCACTACTGAATAGTGCAACCAACACAATAGTTACCAAATCAATTCAGGCCCATTTGGTAAATGTTTAGAGTTCCTTTGTTGTTGTTGTTAAGTGCTGTATAGGGTTTCCCAGGAGAAGATGGTGAGTTTGGTTCAAACCGACCTTGTGTCCACCAGTGCTTTATCTCACAGCACCACACCTGCCTTGTATCAAATACTCAGCTAAGCTTTGAGAAGTTACAGAGGTGAAATCAGGCACTATCCCGGCCATCACAAAGCTTACATTCTAGTAGGGAAGATAATGATTTACACAATCACTCGTAAAATGCAAACCTCATGATGCACAGTAAGATTATGACACAGAAATGAGGCCAGGCTAAAGATATTTTAGAGAAAAGTACAGGCAAGAAAACTATGTGGTAACTATGTTAAAACAAGTCATGGGAGAAATACTCAACCTACTGACTTGCGGTTGGTGATGGTTATGTGCCGTGGAGTCGGTTCCGACTCATAGTGACCCTGTACAGGGTTTCTGAGGCTGTAAATCTTTACGGGAGCAGAAAGCCTCTTCTTTCTCCTGTGGAACAGCTGGTAGTTTGGAACTGCTGACCTTGTGGTTCGCAGCCTGATTCGTAACCACTACACTACCAGAGCTCCTTACTGACTTGTATCCTCTTAAATTGAAGGGAAAAATGGAAACTCTACATGCTAGTTAAAATGTTTGTTACCTTAAAAACCTATTTACAAAAGTGCTCTTCGGTACCAGGGTAGAAACGAATTGTAGCTAGCTCAAAGACGTTTCCAAAAGAATAGAATAATAATTATGATTAGATGGATAAGAACCTTTTACCACCATCAAGGAGACTTGGACTCCTGGTGTGGTGCTGTAGGATTAGCACTGGATGGTGAACCACAAGGCTGGCAGTTCAAACCCACCATCTGCTCCTGGGAAACCCTATTCAGGGCTGCTATGAGTCGGGACGGGAACATTAATGGCAACAAGGACCCCCAGTGGAGTCTTGGTGCGGTGCTGTAGGATGTGCACTGGCCAAAAGGTTCGTTTGAATTGCAAGGCTGTGGTTCAAACTCACCAGCCACTCCTTGGAAACACTACACAGGGTCACTATGTGTCTGAACCAACGTGACAGTATTTAACAACAACAACAAGGAGCCCTGGTAGTGTAGTGTGTTGTGAGCTGGGCTTCTAGTAAGGTCAGTAGTTTGAATTTACCAGCTGCTCTGCAGGAGAAAGAAACTTTTCTGTTCCTGTGAAGATTTACAGCCTTGGAAACCCTATATAGTGTGGTTTTTGAGTCAGAACTGATCCAATGGCACACAACCACCAACACCACCCACATTGTACATGTTGTGAGAGTGCTGGTGTGGTATTGTATGATAAGCACTGGAATGCTGTTAATTGCAAGGTCGGCAGTTCAAACCTACCAGCCGCTCCAGGGGAGGAAGATGAGGCTGTCTCCTCCCATAAAGATCAACAACCTTAGAAACTCTATACAGGGTTGTTATAAGTGGGAACCAACTTGAAAGCGCTTAGCAACAGCAGAAACTCTACATCTTGTTGTAATCACTGAGATCTGTCATACTCAATACTTGGACGCACCCACTCCCAAGTCTTTTCACACCCCAACTTAGCATCCTACCCCATGATCCCCCAACATTAGAGCAATTGACCCCCTTCCCCAAATCAGTATGCATATAAAGCTATTTTATTGTCAACTCTAAACTACAAATAAAATGTCCTATTTCTCAACAGCTATTTAAACAATAATTACCTGAAGGCACTTAACAACAACAAAAAACAAGAGGGAGCACGGTGGCTCCATAGGATAAGCACTGGACTTTAAGCCACAGGGTTGGCGGTTCAAGCCCACCAGGTGCTTTGCAGAAAAAAGATGAGGTTTTCAGCTCCTGCAAAGATTAAAGCCTCAGAAACGCTATATAGGATCGCTGAGTTGGAACCAACTACACACCATTCAACACCACCAGCACAAGGTAGCTAAGAAGGAATGGCCATGCAACCTAACACAGGACAGAGACTAGGGAGCAAAAACACTGGCTTTTGAAACCTATCAAGTTAATATCACCAAAATGGCCACTCCACAGAGTTATTTTGAGGCCCAAATGCTATTTGTACATTTAAGTGCTTTGTAAACCATAAAGCACTTCTGAACGTGGCCTTCATTTGCCAAGAATACAAGTGGAGTTCACCACTGAAGATGATTAGGGGCTGGTTTAAGAATAGATTGGGTTAACCTTTGTAAAATGACAGTCATGCACAAAGTGGGACTTGCTACACTGCATCAATCTTTACAACTGCACAATAACTCTTAGTTATGGAGCTAACCAACAAGCAAAGAACTACCACCATTAAAATGCTCACAATTTGTCACTTCATACATGATACATTTAAACGGACGTACAAAGAGACAGACACATGTGAAGACATCATGCCTGTCATGTTGTTGTTAAGTGCCGTCGAGTCATTTCTGACCCATAGCGACCCTGTATAGGGTTTCTAAGGAGCAGCTGGTGAGCTTGAACCGCTGACCTTGCAGTTCAAACCTACTTTGCAGTCCAGCACATTAACCCAAAGCACCACACCAGGACTCCATGGTGGTGGAGATTGTTGTTGTTAAATACCGTGGAGTCAGTTCCAACTCATAGCGACCCTGTACAGGCTTTCCAAGGCTGTATATCTTTACGGGAGCAGAAAGCCTCATCTTTCTCCCACAGAACAGCTGGTAGTTTCGAACTGCTGACCTTGAGGTTAGCAGCCCAATTCATAACCACTATGCTACCAGAGCTCCTTGGGACGCCACGGTAAGCACTTCAAAATGGTGGCCCCCCTTCTCCCTTCTTCAGAGACAACAGGATAGTGCACATTTATGAGTTACAGTTTTTGTATTTTAAAGAGATGATACATAGAGAGTCCAAATTCAGAAGTCATGTAACTTTGAGAATGGGTCCAGCCACACAAGGAGGGTTGAAACTGTCTTGTTAAATGTAAAGCAGGAGGGATTTAGAACAACGTTTCTCAAAGACAGACACTTGGGATCTTTAGGTTTGGCTGGTCATGGTATATGCTTACATGAGACTTTCAGCCATCAAAGAGAGAAAAGGAATGGAGAATGGTGATGGTTGCATGATAGGATGGATGTAATTCATGTCACTGCATTACACGGGAGAAATTACTGAAACGGCAATTGTTTTGATATGTTGTTGTTCGGTGCCGATGAGTCAATTCCAACTCATAGCAACCCTGTATAGGGTTTCTGAGGAATGGCTGGTGGGGTTGGAATGCGGACCTTGTGGTTAGCAGTCCAATGCTTAGATAAAACCATCACAACTATATACAGACTGCCCCTGAGTCAATCCCAACTGAGAGTGACCCTGTATAAGGGTTCTTTCTCCTATGGTGGATTTGAACCAACCTTGTGGTTATCACTATAAAAAATTATCACTATAAAAAACAGAAAGGGGAATGAATGGGACAAGATGGAAATTTAATAAAATGTTTATTAACTTATTGTTCACAAGTGTCCCAAGCACTTCATATACACTTTCCTGCAGAATGTGGTCAATTCTTGGTCCTTATTCTACTAACTTACCAACAGCATCTGACATAGTACTTACTACTCCCTTTCTCTGTCTTCTTTGCTAATTGTCCTCACCACCTCTCAGTCTCAGACTGTCCCCCAAGGTCTGTCTCCTGGCCTTCTCTCTTTTCCATCAACATTTACAGCTGTGACAATCTCATCCGGGGTGTCCAGCATCTATCTCTAGTCAGACCTCTCCCTTCAGCCCTACGGTCCTGTGCTCAATTGGTTACTTGACATTTTCACTTAAATATGTGACATCTTAAATTTAACATGTCCAAAAATGAACTACTGCTTTCCTTCCAAACCCTCTTGCAATCCATTTAACACTTTCAGTCCTGGTGTAGTCCTGGAGGATAAACAGTAGACTTGTAACCATCAGACTGGCAGTTCAAACCCACCAGTCACTCTCGGAAACCCTATACAGGGTTGTTATACATCAGAAGTGACACAATTACACATAAAAACAACACGTCTTTAGTTGCGCTGGTCAAACAACTCTTTCACACCCCACATGCTCAAGTCATCAGCAAATTCTATTGGCTAACTTCAACATAAAGAATGAGTG